GTATGTATATCGATATGACAGAATTTATTAACAAAACAACTCAAACAATGTTATTGGAATTTAGATGCAACTACAGAGAATATCGAATTTATCTAATAACCACATAACGAGAGCACAAAGGGATACCTTTGATAAACAAATTTAATTTAAATTAACTTTTAATTTACTCAGAATTAATTGTTGCATTCTGTACTGTATAAGACTGCAGCCTTTTTCATGGAATTAAAACGCGTCTAACCGCTGAATACCTCGTAGCTATCAAAGCGATATCTAGAGCAGCGTTTGTTTCCTATTTACTACTAATTTGGATACAATGGCTCGTTATTATTCATAGGCAATTATTTTACTACCTCTATCGTAACAGATGAGAAATATAAAATCATAACGTTAAACTATTCTTTTCAATATATCACTAAAAATGTCAACCTTATTTAGAAGTTTACAAGGATAATTGAGTTTTATTACTTATACAATGCGATCGCGCGCGCGCGTGAATATTTTAGCTTTGAGATTAATTGACGACAAGAGACGAGCATGCGCGCGCGATGTTCAGACTTGATATATTTTATCTAACGAGCGTGGAATAACATAAAAGGAGCGAGAGCGCGTACATTGACGTGGTGATTAATTTTCCATAGAATTGCTTGTCTTTGAAATTGGCCTCGACGCCATCACTCCGCTTCTCTTTTCCCCGCGAATAACAGTCAGTCTCAAAGCCTTCAGAGGGCTTATTATCCGATCATACCGGAATGTGGTTTCACGGGAAAACCGCCAAATCTTTTGCCCTTCCTCTATTTCATGACATGCACATTACATCCAAGTACACCTATATATTTATACATATAGCGAAGATATAATTTATATATATATATATATATAGAACGTAAATATATATCTAACGTAGTTAGAAAGGCTCCCTCGAATATATGAAACTTTCTCATGAAGAACTTTTTGATAGAACAAATATTTTTAAAGTTATTAGCTTGTAACACTTTACGTGGGCCATCATTTATATATATAATAATATATAGATTTTTCCTCTCTTGCACCTTTCAAAAGAGGAACAATGTAAAATATAGATTTTTTTATTACAAGATTTCAGTGTAATGTTTTACATAACAAGTAGCATCGTGTGATCAAAGGCTAAATTCATTATCAGCAGGCAAGTAAAAAAAGAAACGTGTTACTTTTTTTCAGTAATGATCGTTTTTTCTATAATGATAATAAATAGTCGTTATTTTTATCGTTTACTTCAATTCTCTATTATCTTTGTGTCTATTCAATAGACATAATTTTTACATAATTTTTGATAGGATAGAAACATTTTACTTAAATAAAAATTTAAATATTAAAAAATATTTTGTATTTTATTATATCGTGGGTTGTATTCCAATAATCACTTCTAATACTAAAAATTTATAGTATTATATATTGACAATGTATGTACTCTCAATAACGGCATTAATGTTTAAAAATAATGTTTAATAAAAACTTAATATAAAATTCATAAATTACAGTCTAAATTCCTACATATAACAAGTATATGTATTCAGAAACCAAAATATTAATATAAAAATTATAGATTTATTAGATAATTGCCCCTACTTCACTCTAAAATAATGAAATTCAAGATTTTAGTAATTATTGCTACACCCTACTCGTACTACTCATAACATAAAAAGGATTTTTTTCGCACTATTTCGAGATTCGCTATTACAAGGTTCCAGTGTGTACAATGAAAAACTTACTATATAATTCGATCAATCCATAATCGATTGCAAATTTTTCTAATACATTTTGATAATTAAATTTTATATACATCAATGCCAAAACTAATCAAGAAAATGTTTGGTATTCAAATTAATCGTTAGATGGATATAATTTAGTTATATTAGGTACAGTACATAACTACAAGATCTAGTACGTGTACCTATATTGCTAATTTATATCCATTATTTAATGAAAAAAAATTTAATCAAAAATTTTCTTGGTTACTTTTTGGTTACTTTTTGGTATTAATGTATATGTGTGTGTATAATCAATAGTTTATAGCATAAAATTTCTTGTTAAAATATTATATTATAAAATAATTCCGTAAAAATCTATTATATCATCCGATGTTTCTTTTTTAAAAGATACAAGAGAGAAGAATATCAATTTGACTTACAATTAGTGTTCTTTTGAAATTTAAATTAAAAGGATAAAAGATTACGTTGGTCGCATGTGAATCTCGAAAAAGAGCTAGAATTAACAATTAACGAAATAATTTAGTCTTCTTTTTCTCTCATAAATGGTGATTGACTAACTGTACTAGTTAAAGTGATTGACTCATCCGGAAGGAAATTAATGTTCCAGACGACAGACATATTTATCGATTACTCTGCGGTATAGTCAGTTTTACGATATCATATTGAGCCTTATCAATCGAATCTCGTCGTGAGTTGTTTTAGTTACAAGCGGAGAACGCGCGCACGACTGTGTAGGAATCTTTCATGTCCAACCCTCTCACTCGACAGCGAAATTGGATTGTAGCGAACTCGAATACCACGTGGTTGGAAGCTTTTGAAAGGATTCCGCTCTGAACGATCGATGTGACTCTCTTCATTTCTAGAACGTATGGACCACATATGAAAGAATCACTAGCAATCAGTACAGTTGTATAAAAAGTCAAAAACTTTTGCACGCGGTTGGTACTATCATAGTATACGATGAAAAGAAAAACCATTTCCTTTCTACACGTTAAAAAGGCATTGACGTATGTTGCAATTGCTGCTATCGAAATTTATATATAACTACTACAGAATTTTTTTGATACTTTAAAAAGTTCTTAAAAACGATTAATTGGCAATAATTCAATAATGTTATAATTCAATTGTCTTCTAATTCAATTGAAATATGAAATGAAGGGTCATAAAATTTTCATCGATAATTAATTGAATTAAAAATCAACTAGTAAAGAAATTAAATAGAGCACTTTATTTGCGAATTCTTCTTTCTGTGTTTGTAATATTAAATTTCGTTAATCTTGTTAAATTTTGTCATATTGCCTGGATAAATTTTCTTAAAGATTTTATTGTATATTAAAATACAAATCAAGATTTAATTATCATATTAGCTTATTTAAATTACTATTCTGGAAGAAATTGAATAGTTAATGCATTTTGTGTGTGTTCGTTATATGCCATTGCCATAATAAAATAATTATGAAATATATTCTGATTATAATAATAGTAAAAGAAAATTTGTTTTGAAGCAATTATTGCTGCGTACTATTACTATATATAAACTTTTATTATAACTTTTTATATTTAATATTTTGTAAATTATATATATAAAATTTAAATTAACACAAGTCTAAAGTTAATATATGTAATTATCCTTTTTCATTTATAAACGATACATTTGATGTACAAAATCGTAGTTTTGTGATACTGTTTCCTTCCGCTTCTATGAACCGTGAATATTTAAAGGTGCTTTATATGAGATACACAAAAAGCAATTTACATTATACATAAATATCAAGTAAATTTGTTTATTCTTCCATGAAGAAATTTTCATTATTGTTTATCGACGCGTAAGAATTCGATATGGAAATCTAGAACAAGATCAGCCAATAATCTTGAATATTTTAACATTGAATAATAAAAGAACGATTTAGTAAAAAAAATAATAACAATTCGACTTGAAATTACTGACAATCCCTTTAATATACAATAAAATAGTTTATAATTCTAACGTTTTTGAAAAGACCGTCTCTTAAATATGCATAGAATGAGCAGCTCATTATGATAACAATCTGTTAGGAATGTTGACAATCTATTATAATAAATGAATGCACATGCTAGTTGATATTAATTTATAAACAAACAACATGTACAATATTTCTAAATATGAAAGTCTATACATCTTAACTATATATAATCTTGAAAAGTTTTGTAAACGCAAATTTAATCTTCGGAAATAATTTATTACATTGCATGAATTATCTAATCTAAGCTACCACAGATAAAATTCTACATTCAGTAGGTATTAAAAAATAATGAGGACGTATAATTAAGCTTTATTTCGAGATGCTTTAGATTTATTCAAAATTACACGAATATTCGCTTTCACGGTAGGAAAATCGATAACATCGTGTACATTTGTTTTATGGAAAGTGTGTAACACATTGTGGCTTGGAGAGATTAAATTTTGATTATTAAACTGCGATGTACTAACAAATAGTTGTAACAAACATAAACGTTGTTAAAATAATACAAACTTTAAGAACTGGCATTAATGACGCACATCATATTATATCGCACTTTAATTCCCCTTCAACAGCTCCACATAACGACGGTAGCTTCCATTAGAAGCTGCAGTGCACCTTTGTTTTCTGAGATCCTTGCACAGATTCCTGCAAGAACGCGATGTATTTCAGAAAGAGAGAAGTGCTTCGCAAGTAGGGCTCTCGTGTTGAATAAGAAATTTCACATTAATACCGACGAAGATACGCGGTCGAGAGACAAAGGAGGTGCGAAAGCTGTATAAGACGACAAACTTAATATACCGTTCGCGTAATTTTCCGAAACGTTCGAACACATATATTTTACATAAAAACCTCGTGAAAGTAATATCGCTCACGAGAGTTTATGCAAGATGTATATAGTCTACTATCTCATCGCGAACCGTTACAGTAAAATGGAGCAGATAAATGGTAAATGTTTAACGATAAATCTCGAGACAGTACATTTTTTAAAACATAAAAATTAATTTGTGTAATCAAAATTTGCTTGTAATGAAAATCTTAATAACAAAAAAGATATTCTTTTAACTTGAACATAGCCACAAAGCTTTCCTCTATATAATATTGAATTGTATCTATTAATATATGATATATAGAAATCGCATATTTCGTTGACACTAATGATGAGTTAAAATTAAATTTCAGTGAAAAATAACTGTCAACATTGACAAGAACAAGTATTTGGTAAAAAGAAAAGTAGGAGTAAAAGGTAAAAATGCGAACGTTTCAAATATTCGTCGAATCCCGAAACACTATACAAACAGAATTCCAAGACGAGAATGCGATTCGATCGTGCAACGTCAACGTGGATTTGCTTCCCCACGGCTATTTCAGGGATGAAACGTTGTCCCGCCAGCTTACCAAGGTGGGCACGAAAATGCATTTGAAAGTCGAAAATGTGTCGGGAGAAAGTACAATGCAAAAGCCTTCGGCAGCTGCACCGTTATATTCTTTAGTAACCGTAATAGCGAGGAAAATGGTTTCTGCGAGGTGTGAAAATCGTAATATCAGATACGGTGAGAGAAATAGCGGGAACGCTCAGTGAATCGTTGGAATCATCACCCTTAATGGAACATCATTTACATAATTAATGAATTTTGGTAGTCATAATCTAACATAATCCGTATATTTTTTATCTATGCAAATGACTTTTAGCAAAGAATTAAAAATAAAATGATCATCTACACGGAAAGAGTGGTTTTGTTAAAATATCTAAAAATGTAACCAGATCTAAAAATATTGTAATTTTGTTGCACCATCAAAATAATTACATAGCACATTTGATGATATATTAAAAAATTTAGCCAGATCTGAAAATAATTTTATTGTTCAATAAAATAATTATATAGGACGCTCAAACTAATCGCTAGAATGTTTAAATGGTTTTCTGCATCGCTCATCATGCTTGAGATTCTTGCGTAATTATAATATTTTAATAATCAAACAAAATTATTTTTAGATCTGTATATCTAGTAAAATTTATAGATCTTCAACAAAACCGTTCTGTCTATGTATACATAGTGTATTCTATGTATACCCATAATAGTTCATGACAATTTAAGTATACAATAAATTTTACCTAAGAATTTACCGCGTTCTCTTGTTTTTAAATTAATTATTCTTCTTCACCTTTAGATCCATGTACGTTGACAAATATCTCTTCACATTTGTTGTCAATTAAAATGAATTAAAGAACTCATATACCTTTATTATTCATCTAAATATATATAAAATAATATAGTTACAAACAGTTCCTCCTTATAACAATTCATTTTTTCGTAGTATAAATTCGTGGTACACTGTAAAACCTGTATTCTATCACAAGTTAATCCGATCATACTCGAGTAAAGTCGTTCTTCGCTTATGGCTCGACTACGAGAACGCGAAAGCCGCATGACATAGATGGTTGGAAGTCATAACACTCGAGAGGCGCCGCCTCACAAGCCCGAAGGCGTTAAGATATCTGCCTGATATGCTCGTCAGGGATATCTCCATAAGTCACCACTATATATCTTGAAGCTAAATTCTTCAAACTCGGATGTAAATGCAACTCACGCACTTCCACTAGAGCAGATGGCTCTTAAAAGAAAAAAATAAAATAATAAGTAGAAAAGGTCAATTTTATATTAACAAAATTACTTGTTATTAAATTACAGTAACAATTATTTGCGTAACATACATTTAAGCAATTTTTATTGGACTGGAATGTTTTTTTCTTGAGAAAATTATGCACTCTTATAATTTATTAAATATGACTTTTAATATAATTTTCTTTGACTTTGCATTCATAATTAGAAAGTAATGTACTATTAAACCTATAGTGTCAAATTTAATTTAACATGAGTCGTTCCTATTATGCTCCTACTGTAAATATATCATTATTTTATACTAAATCAATAATTAAATTTGATATTAGATCGTGTCAATTTGACACTATATAGTGTCAAATATAACCATAGTTTTAGTATAAATTAACTATAATTGAGTACAGGAGCGACGACTCAAATTAAATTTGACACAATAGATTTAACAATGTGAATCTGATATCGTATAGATTTTAAGTCATTGATTTCTAAAAATGAAATTTTAATAATTTTATTGTTAAAAAGCTAATTTGTTGATTTAATATTGTTAAAACTATATTTGAAACATTAATTTTACGTCTCTTTAAGCTTTGATTTCTCTTTTCCTCTACAAGATTTAATCCGCCTTAGAGTAAAGATGCGCTAATTAGAAAAAAGGATAAACTTAAATGACTACTTCAATATAAATAATACTATGTAAGTAATACTACGTAAGTCATTTTAAACATATTTATACATTTAGGAAATATATATATATATATATA